CCTCATGTGTATCTATTGTGACTACATTATGCTGCGTATGATCTTTTGGATTGAGGCAACCAGCACATACACATAACTTATCAAGCCCTACGACCTTGCTCGACACCACCCATTGGACCCTTCATAAGGAGTATGCCCTGCCCTCAGAAGAGGGAACCAAGCGGCTCTTACTTCTGATCTTCATCATTGACTAGACTCAAGCATGTTATACATCCCTTCTGCAACTCGAAACATGCCTCTGCCTGCTCAGAGCCAGCGAACCTCACCTCTTTTGCCTCCAGCTGTTAAGGCATCTTAATACCAGCAATTTTAGATGGACTCACCTTCTTGGCCAACTCCTTCAATGATATATTCTCAGATTGTGCGATTGTAACGAGGAAAAGCCTGTCCTTATTCTTCTTATCATAAAGGAATAGATTATGTGTATCGTGTCCGATTGGGCGGTCATCATCCCCAGCTCCTGGGATACAGCCATCATCCAGCTAACAAGGAAACCCTCAAACTATTACGACCGATAGGGTCGATGATCGGTCGATATCCCCGTTGTAGCAGAATGCTCCCTAGCATCGAATGAGAAGTATACCCATCCTGTTGCGGATTCACCATGAAGGAATATACGCGACATCGAGAGGTATTCGCCACTCCATAACTCGACTACCAGCAACGAGGGTTCACAACAATTCCACATGGATCATGATAAAGTTCACAAGTATGGGAAAAGGGGAGCAAATTGAAGTTAAGAATGCCTCCTCAACACATTCCTGGCATGGGACTTGGCCGCATTCTCCGCCCTAGACAGATAGCTCGAGGGATGCATGAAATAGGCCATAGCGAAGCCGATCATCAACAACTGACAACGATGCAGTCATCGACATTCATACATCTCTTGGAGAGGTCACTCACATCAGCTGGTGGAGCTTCTAGGCATTTGGTATCGACGAAAACTTCATCAGTGCCAAATTTGGCATCATAGGTGGCCTTGAACATCCCAGGGATGTCCCATTCTCGATCCCAATTCTGCCACTTATGATTATCCACTTCGACAGGGACCTCTACACCATTGATAGTCTGAAAGCAGCAACACAGGATGATAGCACTGCTCTAAGACCCAGTCGTGAACATCGACATACAAGCGTGTAGTAAACTTTCTTGACGGCGGACTTGGCACTCCAACGTTCGGTTTTATTCCCTTCATGATCCTCATCGATTTCCACCTCCACTTTGGCCTTACC